CGTCAGCCCACACCCCTCACACGTACTGCCGCTGCTCCTCCTGGTGCTGGTAGTTGTTCTCCACGTCCTCCTGGTGAAGCCTCTGGCTCTTCTCTGTCAACCTTTGGATTTGGCTCTGCAGGTGACGGTTTTCTCCCTCCAAGTTGCCCTTGAGGCGGGAGAGCAGCTAAAACACAGATGGACAATGTCTCAAACACCACACGCTCCCATGATTCCACTGCTGGGAATCTACTTCCAAAAGGAGAAAAAGGCCACGTGCACAAAGATGGCCATTTTGGTATTATCTACGTCAGCTGGCATGACCAATATGGCCAATGCCATGGGGATGGCCAAGCCTTCTGTCACTGCACCATCCAATCAGGCAGCCACAGGCCATGTGTGGCCGCTAAGCACTGAAAACGCAGCCAGTCTGAGCTGAGATGAGCCATAAGTGCAAAATATATAATAGGTTCTGAGGACTTAATAATGATTCAAAAATAATGTAAAATATCTCATTAATAAGCTGCCTGGTGCATGTGGCTTGGTTGAGTATCATCCCATGCACCAAGAAATGACCAGTGTAGTTCCTGATGAAGGCACATGCCTGGGTTGCTGGCTCCATTCCCAAGTAGAGGGCATGCAGGAGGCAACTGATGGATGTTTCTCTCAAAAAGTCAGTAAAAACATATTATTAAAAAATCTCATTAATAAGCTTTTGGGGTTATATGTGATATTTTAGATATAAGGGTTAAATAAAATAGACCCCTACATTAATCCCACCTGGTTCCTTTTACTTTTTGAATATGGCTACTAGAAAGCTGAGTGTTACATGTGGTGGCCTGCATTACATTCCTACTGGACATCTCTGCTCTAGGCAGGGTTGGCATGCTTTTCCGGTAAAGAACGAGGTACTAAATACATTAGGCTTTCCAGGCCGACAGTGGTCCTGTTGCAACTGTTCAACTCTGTTATTACAGCAGGAAAGGAGCCAGAGAAACAATGCACATGCATGGGTGTGTCTGTGTTTAAAAAAAATAAACCAAAAATCTTTACTCCTGGACACCAACATTTAAGTTTCATGTCACTTTCACTTGCCTCCAAATATTATCCTGCTTTTGATTTTCCCCAGCCATTAAAAACTGTGAAAGCTATTCTTGGTTCTCAGCCATACACAAACAGGCGTGTAGCTGGACCTGAAATTTGGCTGAGGCTGGCCAGCTCCTGCTCTAGAATATCATCGCGGTTGTTGCAGCAGGAAGTCCCAAGCTTTGGCTTCAGACAAATGGGGTTCCAACCCGCTACTTCAGAGGGACAAGGATGGGAACCCCAGCTCACAAGATCATTGTGAGAATTAAATGAGATGACACAGAGAGCAGAGTGCTCAGCCGAGAGGACGGAGATACAACGGTACTTGGCTGTTTCCATGCACCGCCCCGACCCTGCAAAAAGCAAAGATGAGGTGAAAGGTGTTCTGTAGCACACCCCTGCCAGTCCTGGTGTTCGTCCCAGTCAACTGCCTCTGGCTTCCTCTCTGCCTCTGTGTGACATTCACACACACCCTTTGAGCAGAGATGCCAATGAGGACCCATTCCCACCTGGTGGAGCCCAAGGCATCAGCCCAGGAAACAGGCCCACCCAGGGTCCTGGGGCCTCCAGCCCTGGCCTCACCTGGCAGCGGTTGTCCAGCTCGGTCAG